ATAATAAGAATAAATAAAAAATAAACAAAGAATAAAAATTAATGCAATGCAAAACTGTAAAACGTACACATTGGCGGTGGAGGCTGAAGAGCCGTGGCTAAGCAGAACAGCCAGCAGGCGCGCTACGGCAAGTCGTGTTTCGTAGTTGGACCCGTCTAGCGCTTTTGTGCACAAAGTGATCACTGCTTCAAGTTCTGTCGAATAAAGTGGAGGATAGACCGGAACGAGCGCTGTTACACACTAAAACAAGCAAAAATTACCGTTGAGTCATAACTATTGGGAATAGGGCTTTGAGAAATCTATATTCATTACAAACCTGCAATGCAGCTGCTCGCACTGCCATAACTCGGTCGGCCAGGTGTGCCTTAGCAGCTTTGTAAACATCCTTATGGAAATTAGCAGCTCCAGGAGCCTAGCCCAGTAACCATACTTGACAAGGTTATCAATATTTCAGCACGTCCTTGCGACTGAATGGTAAAAATTGAGAAATATTTGAACGCTAATAGAGAAGGGTAATCAGCTGTTGTGCTTTTCAGGAACCAGCGGCAGACCTGGGCTATGGCACAGGCAAGTTAGAACAAGATGGCATGGCTTCCTCCACAAGTCTATATCTCTTGAATTTCAACGCCTCCCACACTCTTCGCTTCCATTACACTCTCTGATGTAAGTGAATGAACCAAGGGCAGTCTCATAGGTATTTCTTTTTCTCGAAACTTATCCGTCCTGCCCCGCTTCCCAGTTCTGAACGCCTTTGGATCATGATATGACACATGAGACCGCCCCCCCCCCACTCTTTCCCAAAAGCTGATAATTCAAAAATAGAACTCCGGATCGACAATGACAAACAACATTGCCGGTTGGTAATCGGTCAGTTTCCCACTGTTTCGCCGAGAAACATCGTTTTCAGCAACACTATCCATGTAACAAAGCAGAGGAAAGAATGAAAAACGATATGAAAAGCGAATAGAGAGCTTAAAAAATACCAGAACCATACCTCCGCCACTTTCAGCCACTTCACCATTATTGGAAATGTGTCGACAAAACTAGACCCACACCTTCCCATTGGTTTCAGGAATTACCGATGCGTCCCGTATAACACAATGCGAGGTGAGCTGCGCTGTGAAAAATCGAACCATTTAAGCGATTTGGATCAGCCGAAAAATTCATACTGATTATAAGCCAAACAGCAAAGACTACGAATTTGTGGCTGCGAGTTGCTTGAGAAGATATCTTTATTTTCTTTAAGGGCCTCATCATTACACAAATTTAGATGCTATCAGCCAAATGTTTGAACATCGCCAATTTAAATATTATTTGCGAGCCAAAACATTTATAAGAAAAATGGACTTAGAGAGGATCGCGATTCGGTTCCACTTTCCCTCAGGCAGCACTCAGACTGTGCTCAGCTAGCATTTCGCACGATACGTTTGCCCCAATGTCAATGTTCGCTGGCTGTTGCGCTGTCCATTTTTAAATAGGTTTGCCTTTTGCAAGAGCAGTTTTGTGTTGGTATTGGAAAGAAAGATTAGAAAAAATGGAAAATTCCAAATGACATGAATGACAAATTCGCCGCGAATCGTTACGTTTCTTATGTGTATCGGTAACGACTCTATTGCCAATAATCTCGGTTTCCAAACTATAGTGCCTTTCAACTCCTTAGTGTACTTGAAAATAGCTGCTTTCCCACTGAAGCACTAAAAACCAATATCAATTTCAAAATCCACACACAAACGGTGCAGCAGCGCGAGTATTTGATCGGGGCATGCCGCTCGCGGCAGCGCTATCATCTTACGCTCGCGAGCACATGAACTGAGGATCCGGGTGTGAGTCTGAATGCTCCTCCAAAACACCACAAAAACCACTTACCGGGCAAGTAAAATATCGTATTGGAGGTCCATTAACAGATGTCAATCGTGACAAAAGTTGCTGAACCAATTGAGATTGTATCGATTTGAGGTCAGACTAAAAAGGATTTATTCAAAATAAAAATGGGGTTTTTGAAATGATTAGCCTTGAACAACTACAAACCCTTTGGCGTACGGCAAGATTCTATCCAAATATCGCAGCCATTCATAAAGAAAAACAGGCTTCTTAGGGTCAGGGCATTGCTGAAAGTTTTTTTACTCAAAACTCTGCAGAGTACTATGAAATAAACTCGCATACAATGCAAATGGAAGCAGAATTACAAAAGTACGGAAAGAAATATCGTTAAAAAATAACCACAACAACGGTTTCAGCCTCATAAAACTCACCCTCAGGGCTTCCTCAGTTTAGTTAAGCAATACTGTGCGATTCGTACAATACCATACAGAATACCTTATGCAACACTATTATCACCACAGCCAGTTATCATGGAATCTTACTTAAAATTTCGGATAGCCAAGAGCGTCGAAGAGAGACATAAGATAAAGATAATCGGTGAATTTGGAAAACGCTCAATTTTTTTATTACTGACAAAGTGAACACAAAAAGGGAATCATAACAAAAGCCAAAATCAATAGATATCACACTGTCATATCACAAACAATAATAACCGTAATACCTTCAAACACCCTAAATAAAAAGCACCAAAGAGATAAAGAAATCTAACCAAAAATTTAATGTTAAAGTCTTGAACCTCAACAGACAAGGAGAAAAATTGAAGAAAAGTCGATGGGAAGATTCAAAGGGAGAGCGCCTTAACTTGTTGACGCCCCCCGAAGGGAATTGACATGTTTTGCCAGGCTTTATCCGCAGACCAAACCATAAATTGAGGCTGCCGCAACCACAACACGCCACTCAGCGAACACCAACGATTTCAACGGAGATAAACCGACGGACGGCTATTGCCAGGAGGAAAGCAAAGCAGAAACATCGTCGCCAGCTGAAAAGAGCTGAATGAAAATCGAGGCGGAAAGCCTCCGGTTACGATGGGAAAACGAGAAAGCATTTAATGAAGGGCATGAGAGAATGAGTTTTTCCCATGGCAAAAGACGTAATACAACAACGGACGCATAAATGAGGACTTTTTTCAGAAACCAATTATCGGAACTTGCCTAAGTCGCTTTGACAAAAATTGGAACCAAACAGACGGCTAATCTTGTTGCACTTACTTTATTCAATAATGTATCGTATTTAGAAAGGACAAAACTAGAAAGCAAAAATTATAATTGGAATTATCAATCGATGAACTTGAAGTAGAGGACTAACTAAAATAATAATCCACTGAAAACTGAATAAGAAAAATGCTAACCACCAGATTTAAAGGCAGTGGCTACCATGGCTAGAGGGCGGTGCGGTTTTGAGTACGTCATGGAATGTAATTGATGGCGGGCGTTAAGAGGTGGCCCAACGACACCCCGGCGCGATGAGCAGTCTAATTCACCAAAAACGTCATCAAAATCGCTCCGCCCTCCTATCACTGCGTTCGCTGCCTTTAAGTACACAGTATGTAAGTCCTACGGCGAAGTCCTAAACATTTTACGGAATCATAAACAATGATGCTCTTCAATTATTTCTTATCGTTTTCACCCCCTTCAGTTCACCCCGTTCCTTTATAACCCTAAAATAAGATGGGCAGATCGGTTGGGTAAGTGGAAGAAACCGCACATGGGTAGATACTCGCGAAGGTCGTATAAGTGGAGCCAAAACACTAGGCCCTTCCCATTCCACGTCCTGTGACCTTAAATTCACGATCAAAAAGGCCACGAAAACACCTTTATGAGCTCCGAATTGCAATTGCGACATATTGAAGGCCACTACGACCACTGCATTGTCTACCGGATAAGAACTATTAGACGCACTTTTTGAGCCCTTGTCACTCAAATCATGCCGTAGTAAACTATGCTTTCCGTCGTTTACCGATGAATGGCTAATCGTCCAACTGTCACTTTTGCCATGGCGAAAGAGGGTTTTTTGGCAAGAGCTTACACAAGAGATGAGAAAACAATGAGCAGCAATTTACAGAGCATCCCGAATCTGAGATGCCGAAATTGTTCGTGGAATGGTCAATCATCAGCAAAACCGCCACTTGTTCGGCTACTATTACACTTACCACTGAAATAGCACTCAAAAAACTATTTCTATTTTTAATGGCAACGCAAAGACGGTGACATGTTAAAACAAAAATTGTTATTCCTTCACTCTGATGTAAACGGTACATATGAAGGGTTTCTCAACTAGACATCCCATAAGAACCGCAAACCGAAAGTGGTGCGGTGCTAACTTAGTGGGGGGGGGGGGGGCCACACGGCGGCGGCGCGGCAGTCTGCTCACCTGGGCTCTCTCGAGCGAGACAGTGTAAACTCGAACATTCCAGCTTTTCACGCATGTCAAGTGACTGCCCCCCCCACCCCCTAGACTGCCTACACTCCCCCTGGCCCACGGATTTCCGAACATGCCAGGCGAGCAGACTGCCGCGCCGCCGCGTGCCCCCCCCCCCAACTAAGTTAGCACCGTAGTGCATTGATAAGTGAAGTTATCAGGCATGCTCACGGTCTCGGAGCAAAATCATGGTGGCGGAACAAGCCGTAGATAAGTGATTAGCAACAGACTGGTCGAGAGAAAAAACAGTCACTTGTATTCGTTTAACCTCAAATCAGTCTGTGGACAGCATCTCATGCCAGAATACGACGTGAATGGGAATCATGGTTGCACATTCCCACTCATGAGTTCCCTTCACTAGTCTTTGACGCAGATGCATTTATCTGCTGTCTAGTTTGACAACAGTGTCTTAATGCACCCGCAACAAACGGAAAAGCAGATTACTATCAAAGAATATCAACAAAAATTCTGCTATTAATAACGCAGGGGTCTATTCCAGTCAGGGGGCATCATGTTGCGGTGACTCCCAAAAAGCTACGGTAACTCTGAGCCAGGGAGAGTGTAGCCAGCCGAGGGGGGTGGGGGTGAGGGCAGCCATTGACATGCGTGAGAGCGGAATGGCCGATGTCAGAGTCTGCGATTGGAGCGATCGGTCAAAATGCCAATCGCGCGACCATCGCGCGATTCGCGCGACGATCGCGCGATTGACATGAGTCCCATCATGACCAATCGCTCCAATCGCGCGATGGGCGCGATCACTCCCGTTGTGGCTGGCGCGCCCCTCTCGATCGATACGTTGACTGAGCTATATCGATCGAGAGGGGCGCGCCAGCCACAACGGGTGATCGCGCCCATGGCGGCGATTTGAAGTGTCATTGTCATGATGGACTCATGTTTTCAAATCGCGCGATTCGTCGCGCGAAGTCGGGCGATGGTCGCTCGGGATTGGCATTGTGAACCGATCTCAATCGCAGACTTGACATCGGCCAATGTTCGCGTTTACAGTAGCTCGCCGAGAACTGCTATGATGCCACCCAACTCGGAATAGACCCTTGAACCGCCAGATATAAGGCGGAACGGTCGATAAGTTATGGCGTTTCTTGGCGTTTCGGGGTTAAACCCAGAACCAGATAAAAAGTCATTCATTTTGTCAAAAGAAAACTGTTACCCGGACCCTAAGAAAAACAGAATGGAATAGTGTATTGACCTGGCGCCAAGAGGTGGTTATGGGGGGCGACCTACACATCCAAAAACTTTTCCGATTCTGAACGACAGCGGTATACAGAGGCAACCTAGTAAGACTAGAGGGGCTCTATTGTGCATCCGTAAAATTATGAAGTCTATTTTTTTCGCCCGTAACAACCCGTTGACACATGAGGCTTGGTGATGGTGTCTGTGTAAGAAAAGAAACAGATTTTGAAAAACAGATGGCTTCTCACGGGTCAATATGAGGAACACGAGGATAACGTTCTAAAAGTACAGGGCGCGCGTCCGCGCCATGACCGCAAGTGCAAAGCGCTGCCCCTATCACAACCTGCAGCTCGCCCTAATCACGGGCAAGTTCACTATTTAGGCAAAACTGCGCAGAAGGAAGCAGAAAATACGGCATTCCAATCTCATTAAATGCAGCCTAATTCAGTGCACAGACCCGCAGTACGTACTTTTGGTACATACCCGAATATGCGAAAAAAAATGAAGAAGTAGATATTAGCTATAGAATGAAGCAAACCACAAAGAGTATCTCCACATTATACATACCAAAATCAAATATGACCAACCAAAAGTAGGAAGGGCCGAAATTCCTGCCAACGCGAAACGCGGCAAAAAAACGCGACAACTGAAACGAGCAAGTCAAAAATGGGCTGTTGCGGTTGGAGCAACAGCTTATTTTTTCCCAAATTCTAATTGACAGAGGAGAGCTGCCTGTGCTGTACACGCGATCTTACCCTTGGAGATTCGACTCCAACTTACCCCGGCCTCAACCCTAGGGTAAGCGTTGTGCAGGATTACATTGGGTTGGGGTAGGGATGCGTTGGAGCCAAGATGCGGCAACGGTGAAGTTCGGTCAACTTGGGGGTAACTTGAGACTGAGAGGATAAAGATAAGTTTGGGGTGAGGTTGAGCGGAGGTTAAGTCAGCGTCAAGTCACGAGTACAGCAAAAACAAAACGTCTTTGAGCAAATTCAAACATTTGCCCTAATAGCAGCATGCCTGACTTGACGGGCTCGTTTTTACTGCGCGAACGGCTGTCACGCGCGGCCTGTACTTTGGTCATCACCCCCCCCCAAATGATATAAGCCACCAGTCGATGCTATTTTTTATCTTCTCAGACAAATATTAGACCTAATAATAGACATCAGGAAGATAGCGGGGTCTAATGTGTGGATCTGGACCCCACCCCCTTTATGGCCCGAGTGTAATACAGCGTCGTATAGCTCTTTTGAGGGAAACTGTTCAAGGGTACAGCTGAACCATGAAAGCTGGCAATTCTCTTTCACACTGAACGACATAC